AAAAAAAAAAAAAAAAAGACGACTGCTTAATGTTTTGCTACATAAAATTAAAAAAAAAAAAGAAAAAATAGAATAAAGAAACTAAAAAATTAGTAGTTTTTACACACATTACAAAAAAAAAAAAAAAAGAAAAGAAAAGAAAATATAATAAAGAAAGGTAGAAAAAAAAAACAACTCTAAATAAAAATTATGTACACTATTTTCCTTATTTTTTACATAAGCCTATCTAGTTTTTAATATTTTCATAATTAGATTTATGCAAAGGTAACAAATTTATTTATTTTCATTCTTTACACTAATTATTATTATAAAAAAAAAAAATAATAAATAAATATGCAACTAAATATAATTAATTTTTGATGTGATATTAATTATATAATTAAAAATATTTATAACCAGAAAAAAAAGGAATTAGATAAAAAAATGTCATAATTAACATAAAAAAAAAATGTGTCTAATATATATTCTATAATAATATTTATACGAAATTATATAAAAAAAAATTATAAATTGTATTTTATGTTTTTTAATAGTTTAAAAAATCTTTATTATATAGAGAATTAAAGAAAACTTATTAAAATTATGTCTGATTATTATTGATACTTTTATAATTATACAAAAAAAAATTTTGTCATAAACAAATAACTAAAAAAAAAATAAATTACATAAAAATTTTAGATAATTTTAGTTTTTTAATACTTCCTTAGCATATTTTGTATTTATGCAATTTCTAAGTCTTGACTCTATATGTATATCCATCATTCTACTATAATTTCTTAAATTTTATTTATTTATATTTTTTTAAAGTAATTATGTCATTTTAAAAAAAAGTTTAGAAAAATATCTAATTTTTTTTTTTTTTTTTTTATTAAATTTTCATATAAATAAAAAAAATTCAATAAAAAAGTACAAACATATTTTATATATCAACACATATGTATTAACACAAAATAAAATATAATTAAAAAAAATTAAGAAATATAATAACATAAAAATTATTATTTATTTAATAGAAATATATCTATATTAAAAAAATAAAATTTTTTTTCATAATTTTTTCGTTTTATCTTAATTTATATCTTTTGTGTGTAGGTGTGTGTATTTTTTTTTTTTCTTAATGCAAATTTGAATTATTTTAAAATAAAATTCATTTTTGAGGATATTTTAGGTATATACTTTTCATTTTTATTTTATTTTTTTCTTTTTCTTAAAAAGTAATTTAGTTAAAATATTATAATATATAAATGACTATTTTTATTATATATATATATAAAAAAAAAAAAAAAAGGCGTACATATATGTATATAATTATTTCATGATTTTTTTTTTTTTATCTCTGAATGCATTATTAACAACATGAAATTAGACAAATGTTCTTTTTATCATTCTTTATATTACACATACATATATATATATATATATATATATATATATATATATATATATATACATATATATATGTATATATGTGATATTTAAATTTTTATAATTTAAAAGTAATTAATATTTTTGTATAACTTTGAAAATTTATTGTTCCTTTATAGTTAATTGTAAAGTTATTTGATTATTTGAATAAATTAATAAAACCATAAAGATCAAAAAAAAAAAAATAAAAGAAAAGAAATTAACAATTTGTCTTCTTATATGAAAATCCTAATTATTTTGTATTATATTTTTTTACTTTTTTTATATATATCTTATTTGACAAAAAAAGTAAAATGTTAATATAGAAAAATAAATATAATTAAATGATAATTAAGACTGTTTAAGAATTCACTCATTATTGTTGATATATTTATATATGTATCAAAGTTATATTTCACTTTATTTTAAAATACTTATAAAAAATCAAATTACTTATTAAAATAAATAAAAATAGTAAAATAAAAACTATTAAATTTAACATAATTCATTTATATTAATAGTATTTTACCATATTCTGAAAAGAATATACAATTAAATTAAAGCTATAAAATGACATATTAGTTTTAGTTTTATAAATTTGTATTTAATTAGGAACTAATCTATTTTTATTTCTAAAATATTTAAGTAAATTATTATTTTTCATTTACATTCAAAAACCATATTAAATTAAAAGGTAAGTAGTAATTATTAAATAAACTTAAAAATCTCCTTATTGATTAGTAATAATTAAAAATCTCACTTGTACTCTTTTTATTTTTTTTTATGTCGTTTTTTAATTATATATCATTAAATTTTCAATAAATATCACAAATAATATACAACTATATGTATTTAAAAAAAATAAAACCAAAAAAAATATTGTTATTTTTCTACAATTTAAAAAAAAAGAAAAAAATATATTTAAACTTTAAACTTAACAATTAAAAGCTAAAAAACATAACTGTATATATATATATATATATATATATATATATATATATATATATATATATATATATAATTCTAATAATTTTTAAGTGTTTAATTCATGAAAAATAAACTAAAGAATATAATTATTTGTATTTAAATTATTTTAATTGTTTAATTCAAATTATTAATATTAAACTTTGGTATCTCCCAACTGTCTTCAACACACATCTAAAAAAAAAAGGCAAAAAAAAAAAAAAAAAAATTTTATAAAATGTATTATTTCATATATAAGAATATATATATATATATATATTTATATCTTTTAACATACCAATACTCTTTTATTATATAACGTTTTATTATTAATAAAGATTCTAGCTGCTTCCGGATTAGCAGGAGAAGAAGTATTAGGATCATTAAGTAACGATTGAATAGAAGTTAACAACGAGGTAATGTCATAAATAGGACTCCACTGATTTTGTAAAATATCTAAACAAATGTTTCCATCTGTATATATATTTGGATGAAATATTTTTGATAAAAATTTTAATTTTGGTGGGCATATTGGATATTCTTCTGAAAAATTAATAATTAGATGAAAAATCCCACATTCCCAAATAGTATCTTGTGGACCTCTTATAATAGCATGACAACACATTATATTATCAGCAAAAGGAGATGCTTCAAAACTTTTATTTTGTTCTCTATTAACTTTATTTAAATCTTGTATTATTCTTCTTCTTGCGAATGTTGACATTTTGAGATTTTAATAATAATTTCATTTAATTTTACTTCTAATTTTAACTTGATTTAACTTAATTTTTATTTATTTCGTTAAACCAAGTTGTATATTTATATTTTAATAATAATTTTCTTTTACTGATTTTAATTAAATTTTATCTTAATTAAAATTTCATTTTATTTTGTTCTATTTTTATTTTTTTTTTTTCTTTATTTTACATTGTTTTAATTTCAATTTTATTTTAGTATGTTTTTTTTTTTTATTTTTATCAGTTTTAATCATGCTTAAAATTTTATATTGCTTATAGAGTTTACATTTTGATTATATTATTTTTTTTCTTTTTCTAATAAAATATTTATTTAAATATTATGTAAAAAAATTAATTTATTTTAATTTGCTGTATGTATAGCTAAAATTGTTTTTATTTTTGTAAAAAATTAACATAATAGAAAAAAAAAAAAAAAAAAATGAATTATTTATTATTGAATAAGTAATATCTATTTATCAAATAATAAAATTGCAAGGTTGTGTATTTATAAATAATTATATATATATATTAATAAAAGAAAAATAAACAAATAAACATATATTATATATATATATATATATATATATATATATATATATATATATATATATATATATATATATGGTGAATGGAAAATGATAAATTATATTTCAAAATATATAGATGACATGGATAAATTTCATTTCAAGTTTAATCATTATTTTTTTTTTATTAGATAAAAAAAAAAGTATGCTTTGTTTATCATTTAAGCATAAATTTATAAGATATGCATCAAAAGCAAGATTAAATAAACAGCAAAAAGAACAAAACCAATATATAAAAAAAAATTTTTTTTATGGAAAAAGATTTGTATTTATATTATCAAAAAAGGTTTATAACTTAAATAATAAATCATCTCTACCTTCAGTGTCTATTAAAATAAATAAAAATAAAAACTTTAACTGCTTGAAAAAAGTAATTGAAAAAAATTTAGTTCCAGTTAATTATTTTTCGCTTTATATGAAAAATTTTTTTTTTCCTTATTGTAATAAAAAAAAGCTAGGATTTGTTAAAATGAGTAGTATAAATGAATCTAAATGTAATATATCAATAGAAGAAGTAACTACAAAAAATCAACAAACAAAATATAATGAAAGCATTTTAAGTGAAAATGACAATAAAACAAATCCTATCCATGATAATTTTGAAAAAACAAATTCAAAAGATAAAAGTAATAATGTAGAATACAAAATAGATACACCAAAAGAAGATAAAAACGATATTATAAAAAAAAGGACAAATAATCATCTAGATAATTTAAGTAACTCAAAAAATATTAGCATTAATTCATCAAACAAGAAACTTTTTGTAATTGACACAGATAAATGTAAGGATGACACAAATATAACAAGTAAAAATGCAAATGGTGACGAGAATTACAAAATTTATAATATACAAGAACTAGAAAATATGAGAAAAAATTCTAATTTTTTTAAATTAAATAGTACAGAAAATGACGAATTTAGCATAGAATTATATTTTAATTATAAAGAATTGAAATTTTTAAGAAAAAAGGAGGAAAATTTAAAATCATTAATAAATAGATTAACTTTAAATCTAAAGAAATTAGAAAAAAAAAAAAAACAATTAAATAAAAAAAAAAATAAAAATAAAGAGCAAACAGAAGACTCACCTAACAAAACTGTAAATTCTATTCAATTTTTTGATAGTGAAAATAATTTAATTGATGAAAATGATACATTGAAAGATATTGCAGATAAATTAAATTATGTAATTATAGATAATTTGAAAATATCAATATTCAAAGATTTATATGATCTAAAACAAATATATGTATCAATGGATGTGTATAATAATCATCCTATTATTCCTGTTAATTTGCCATTGGATAAAATAAATGAATATGTCTATTATTGGATAGATTCAACAGATAAAAATGTAGTAAAGTCTTATGAGTTATTTTATATCCCTAATAAAGATGAAATATCTAAAAAAATTCAACTAGTTATATATGATAAAAAAAATCCTTTTTTTTTTTACGTGACTGAGCAGACACAAGTTAATCATAATGAATTTGAAGAAGAACTAATAATAAAAGGAAATAGATATATAGATTTTAAAAAAACACATGATGATAATAATAACATAATTCGTATCATGTCTTATAATATACTTGCGCCAATTTATACGAATACAAAATATGCAATGGAATACATGTTTAAAAATATTGAACCTCGTTATTTAAAAACAAATTATAGATCACATTTATTGATTTATGATATAAATTATGATCTTGATATAATAAGTTTACAAGAAGTTAGTGAATATTTACATTCTAATTTGTTTACTGTTTATTTACATGAAAAATTTTATTCCTATTATAAGCCAAAAAGTAATCACGGAAATGATGGATGCTCCTTGTTTGTGAATAAAAAAAAATTTTCTCTTATAGAACATAGGAATTACGAATTCAGCGAAGTTATTAAAAAGAAAGAATTGAAAGATGTGTATGATGTGTTTATCAATTTATCAGAAAATCTTGAAGAAATCATTAATGGAATTAAAACTGTTTTTCAAATAGGAATATATTTACATAAAAATACACAGTGCGTTTTTATAATTGCAAATACTCATTTTTATTTTCATAGTTTAGCAGATCATATTAGAGCAATGCAATCATATTCTATATTGTATATTTTACATACTTTAAAAAATGAATGTGAACAAAAATATTTGAAAACTGCTTATGTTATTTTAAATGGGGATTTTAATACAACTTTTGATTCAGATGTTTTTCATTTTTTCGAAGGTAAAGATATTACTTCTAATTCAGAAATATGGAAAAATGCGAAATTATTTAAAAAGGAATTCGATGATTTAAATAAATATCCCAAGTTATTTGATTTAAAAAATACCTATTCTTCTCATGATATTAATGGCCCATTTTTGAATAGAAAGAAATTTTTAAGTTTATATTCTGCTTATAAAAAGAAGGATATTTCTTATACTAATTGGAATAATAATTTTATAGAAGTCTTAGATCATATATTTTTATCACCAGATATTAAGGTTAGGAAAATATTAAAAGGAATTGATCAAAATAATTTCGCAAAATACAAAGGTTTAGTTTCTCCAATACATCCAAGTGACCACTTACCAATAGCCGCAGAAATAGAAATATAAATGAATTAAATTCTAAATATTTATTTAATTTAAATATAATTTTAAAAATATAAAAAAAAAAAGTAATATAGTATATGTATATATTTATGTAACATTTTTTCTAATTTAATTTCACTGTAGTATTAAATCAAAAAAATATATTATATTCCTGAAAGAATATTATAAGAATGTTTTTATTTTTGAATAAACTATTTTATTTTATATTTCCAAATATTTAAAACCTATAATTTACAAAGACATATGTTACTATTTTTTATTATTCATATATATTTATCATTATTTATTTCTATTTTTATTTATTTAATGTTTCATAATTTTTATAAATTTTTATTGTAAAAATTTTACAATTTTATAATGAAATATTAAAGAAAAATTAAAAACGTATTTATGAGAAAATTTAATTATAATATATTTTTTTTCAGTTATTTCATTATATAATTTATCCTTATTTGTGTTATTCTTATATGTTAATATTTTTTTTACATTATTTTTCTATATAATCCTTTATTATATAATAACTCATCAATTAAAAATAAGTTTTATATATGTTAAATTTTATTTTAAAAATCTACATTTTTTTAGCTTTTTGCACAAAATTATATTTATGATAAACATTTTACAATATATTTTATTTATTAATTATTTCATAATATTTTTATTTTTTAATTATAAGCAAGGTTATATCCTTCATTAAGAAAAGGTACTTAATATCTTAAAATAACCTACATATTATAATTTAAATTATATTTTTAAATAATAATGATATAAAATTAAAAATATATATATATATATATATATATATATATATATATATATATATATATATATAAAATACTTTTAGTATTTAAAAAAAAACTTTCCAAGCTTTACCCATTTATATTAGTAAACTCTACAATTTTTTTTTTTTTACTAGTTTTAAAAATAATGATGATAATGTATTAAATTTTTATTTTTTTTTTTTTTTTTTGTTCTTAATGAATAATTTTATTGGATAATTTATAAGAATGCACAAATATTTTTTTTTTCTTAAAAAATAATATACTTTTTTTTTTTTTTTTTATGAGATTTAATAAATATAAAAATATAAATTGTTCTTTTTTCAAATGAATTTTGAAAATAATAAACAAAATGATTGAGAATAAAAAGAATGACAACAAAGGAATATTCAAAGTTAATAAATGGTCTGCAGTAGCTGCATGGTCATGGGATATCAGTGTGGATAATTGTGCTATTTGTAGAAATCATATAATGGATTTATGTATTGAATGTCAAGCTAAATTAAATGATAATGAAAATGAAAAAGAAAAAAAGATTGATAAGGAAAACTGTACAGTTGCATGGGGTATATGTAATCATGCTTTTCATTTACATTGCATATCAAGATGGATAAAAGCTAGACAAGTTTGTCCTTTAGATAATACAAATTGGGAATTTCAAAAAGCAACGGACTAAAATATATTTTATTTTTATGTCTACTGTATTTTTCATAATATATACAACTGTAAACTTATTCTATACCTTTTTTTTTTTTATTATTATATGTTTTGTTCTCATTTAAAATAATAAAGTATTTTCAAAATATATTAAGTTTGTTTAAAAAATATTTTTTTTTTTTTTTTTTTTTTTTAATCTATACAGCTATTAAAAGTTTATTTTTTTTATTCCAAACGAGTAATAATAAAAAATATACAACAAAAAAAAAAAAGATTAATAAAAATAAAATTTCAACAAAGAACAAAAAATGAAACAAAAATAGTATATCATATATATACATATGCACATAATAAAAAAATAAATAAATAAAAAATAAAACAAAGAAAAAAAGTTTATAATATATATATGTATATATAATATATTATAACTGAATATGAATACATGAATAAATATGTATCAAATGAAAATGACTGAAAATGTATAAAAAAAAATGGCAATAAATCTACATGAAAAAAAAAAAAAACTAAACAAAAAAAAAAAAGAGATTATAAAATTTACAAATTTATATATTAATATTTTTTTTTTTTTTTTTTATTGTATAACTTCAAATAAAAAAACCCAATATAAATAATAATGAAGCATAAAAACCTTTTTTTAATAAATAAACTTAATAAGTATTGTATGCATATATATATATATATTCACATTATACTGTTTTTATTATATTATATATAATTCATAACGTATAATTTTAATTAACCTATATATTAAATAGTTCATAAATATTGAAGACACCTTCTGTTGTATTCTTTATTCATAATTGTAGATAGACAATATTTATTTTCATTAATGATATGAATATTTAATTTCATTTCTTCATATATATAAATGATATATTTTATTATTATTTTTATTCATATAATATATATGTAAGTAGTATTATAATTTTTTTTTTCTTCGTACGTTTTAATAAATGCATTTTTTATGTTTTCTTTTTTTGTTTAACCGTTGTGCTTTCTTCTTTTACTAATGGCATTTTAATTTTATATATAGCTTTTTGTACTATTCCCCAAAATGCTTCTTTAGCTTCTACTGCAAAAGCAAAACCCTTATGAACAAAATCTTTAGAACTATTTTCGCTATCTATATAAGCTAATTTTCTTATTTCATATTTTCTTAATCCTTCAAACTTTCCTAATTTTATTTGTTCAAGAACAATTTGTTCCATTGTTGGTTTTTTTATAAATTGGTAAGTCATCATTACTATTAAGGGTAATATTGATATATATAAAGAAATTATTAAGGAGAAATAATAGTTTCCTGATGAGTGAGCTTTCTCAAATGTCCCATGTAAATCATCTGCACCTACGATATCTAAGAAGAACTTTGCCTTACTTAAAATAAACCAAAATAAAAAAATGGCTATAAACTCTAACCATAAAACTATATGAGATATGAAAAACCATGTGTTTGTCATAAGAACAACAACAGTATTAACTGCTATAACATGGTGTGTATAAAGAATTTGAGAAAACGTATTAAAATCAACATCTACATTATGACTTTCTTCTAATGCAGAATTTGCTTGCCCCGTAGAAAAATGTAGTATAATTATTGTTTCCACTGTAGCTAGCCAAATTGCAAATAATAAATAAATAAACAAATAATGTGTACCATATGATCTATATTTTTCTGGTTTCGATCTTTTTCCTATCCAAGATTTAATTTTTTCAGTTGACTTTTGAATAAATGGTATAAATTTAAGTAGTAAAAAAAAAATTCTACAAAAAAACTTACAACAATTTTTTATTTTGTTTGTATAAAATTCAATTTTTTTATTTGAGTAAAATGGCCATAATGTAGATGGTGATGTTTCATATAATAATGGATTATTCAAAAGAATATGATGAGGTAATTGCTTATCTAATGCTACAAAAAATATAACAGGCAAAGATGTAAATGCTATGTTAATAATTTGCTTAGTCCATGGGTTCCATGCATCTATAGCACTATAACCTGTCCAGAAAATTAAAACCATAGAACACAAACAAAAACTAACATTACGAAAAATGCAAAAATAAACTAAAAATGAATTTCTTCTTAAGGATTCTCTTCCATGTACAAATAGCAATTTCTTTAAATATTTAAATTCGCTTATAGTAAAATCAGAAGATCTAGCAGCTTGTAACCCCTCTTTTCCAGCAATCCCAACTCCAACATTGGCCATTAAAATCATACCAACATCATTTGCTCCATCTCCTATAGCTAATGATGTCCCTCTGGGATTAAATGCTGAATTTTCTTTTACCAATAAAGACTTTTGCTTTGGAGTTACTCTACAAGCAATTAATGTAGAAGCACTTCTAGCTAATGTATAAAATTTTATTTTTAATATTTTATTTTTCATTATTACATCTAATGCTTCTCCTGTTATGGTTATAGAAAATTGCGAATAATGAACTTTTTCTTTTAATTTCATTTTCTCTAAATCATTAGGAACAAAAGATTCACTTGATTCTAAAAATGAATTGAACACTTTTTCTTGTTTTGCCAAACTTATAAAGGAATTGTTATCTTTCATATTAAGCAAATTCGATGAAATTAAACTTTTTTCTATTGATGCATGAAAATTTGTTTTCATAAAATTTAAAATTGTTTCTGATCTTATATCTAAATTTAAATTTTCCCAATTAACACTGTTCCACCATTTTGTTTCATGGTCTACATTCAATAAATTTGCCGCATTAGTATTTTTTTCATGTATATTAATTTGCTCAAGTAATAAGTCAGGATCTGTTTCAGTAAATACAGCATTATATGTCTGCTTATTCAATATATTTATAGAATGACCAATGTTTATAGCTGTTTCTAATTTATCTCCTGTTAAAACACAAATAGTCATTCCTGCATCCCTTAAATCTTGTATTACTTGTGGCACATCATCTTGTAATTTGTCATCAATACCGGTACATCCAATAATTACTAAATTATTTTCTGCTTCATCATAAAACTTTTGTAAATATTCTTCTTTTTCATTTTCAGGTTTTTTTGTAGCTTTTATATGATTTTGATACATTATGCTAAATTCTTTCTCTGTTAAACGCTTATATCCTAATACTAAAGTTCTTAGACCTGAAGTTGCAAATGCATTTAATTGATATTCGACATGATCAACTATATTTTCTTGATTTCCTGATGCCATTTTTAAAACACTTGTATCTGCTCCTTTTACTAACATAAAAATTTCATTCTTTTCACTTTTTACAATTAATGACATCCTTTTTCTTACATTATCAAAAGAAAATACATCTAATATTTCAAAGGATAATACAGGAACTACTTGTTTATTAACTTTCTCTTCATTTTTAATAGTTTCTTTAATGTTTCCTTTGTTAGGTGTAAATATATTTATTATAGGTATAGACATATGAAAATTGGCATCTTCTCTTATACTATTTGTGGCACCTCTTGAATTATTATCACTTATTTTGGATTCTCTTTTTTTTTCTTTTAATATATAAGCCTCTGGGAAGTATGTATCAAAATTGTTCTCGTAATAATGTTTTTTTCGTAAAAAATTTTGAAAAGTTTCCTCCCCTAAAATAAATCTTTGAGCAAAAGCAGATGTTAATTCAATTTCAATAGTCGTTAAATTAGGTCTATTAACAAATTCACAACCTAAATATAGAGAAGTGCTAATTAACGCTAACTCATCTGGAGAACTTGCATCATATTGTGGTTGTGTTTGTGTAATATATGTATAATTGACTTTTGTCTCTTTATCATATACCTTAGTCTTATCAGTGTTAACTTCACCTTTGTTATCATCCATCTCATCAATATCTGCATTTCTTATCATTGCGCTATGGCATAAACTTAAAACTAGTAATAAAAAATAAATTTGTTCTTCTGCATCATTTCTAATGCTATATATTTTATTAACAAATAAAACTCGATTGAAAAAAACAAATTCATTTTCTCCTCTAGCAAAGTCATCTTCAGTATAAGCATTTATCATATTTTCATAACTCAAACTATTAACACGCATATAATTTTTTTTTAATTTTTTGGAGTTTAAAGATGTTTTAGACCAATTCAAAGTATGTAGTAGAGTAGGCATATCATTCAATGATTTTCTATTCATATTATTACTCAGAATTGATCCATCTTCTTCTTCATCATCTTCATTTTCTTTTTCAAAAAAATAATCCATATTTTCTTTTCCATTTAATCTTCTATTTTTTAAAATATTATCTTTTATATTACTGAAATCATAAAACCCATATATACCATTATTTCCTAGTCCTATATTTTGCAGTTGCATAACATTCTGAGTTAACGTTCCTGTTTTATCTGAATAAATATGAGTAACATTTCCCATTTCTTCTAATAATTGACCAGCTTTACTTAAAGCATGTCTTCCTGTTTTTTCACTATACATATCTTTATCCCAATTTATTAAATAACCTTGTAGTAACCTCACTACTTCCCATATTAACAATAAATCAACAGGAATAAATGAACCGAACAATAAAACCATTGCACCAATAGTAATAAAGAAAGTTTTTAAACTGTCTGACCTTTGATCTAAATGTAAATACCATAGATTGTATCCTTTTTTTCTCATCCATAATACACCTCCTACAGCTACAATAAGAGATATAAAAATTTGACAAAAAATTAATACAATAACATGATTTCCATATACAAATTCTAATCTAGACCATTTCTGCCTAGATTTAGTTGATGCATTTTTCATTAATTTTGTTCTATTTCCTGTATTTATAACTAGCCCATATATCCATTTCGTATTTACTAAAGAAGTTCCTCTTAACACCAAGTTATCTATTGTTATATGAACTGCGTCTTTTTCATTTTTCTTTTCCTCTGTTTTTGTTTTTTCTACTTCTTTTTCTTTATTTATGTTTTTCAAAATGCAATCATTTTCAGTGAAGAAATCATTACCTTTTTTATTAGAATTCGATTTACTAGATAAGGTATTTTCACTTAACATATCATTATTTATAGAAGTTATTTCATCATTGGAACTACTTAATATATCTTCTACCTTATTACTTTTAATCATCATACTTTTTTTTTTTTTTTTTTTTTTTGTTTTACCTTTTTTTTTCTTTTTTTTCTCATTATTTATTATATTCCTATTTAATTCATTATCATAAAAATGTATAATTTTACCATCTTTTCTTTTATATTGCAGAGGTGGTAATAAAATTAATCCATTATAATCAAAAATGTTATCATTTGGTCTTTCACTTATTAATTCTATTCTACAAAAACCAGCATATTTGTCATCATTAAAATATTGAGATATATCTGGCAAACAATATTTCTGCTTTACATTAGATTCTCCATCAACATTTTTTGTCTCAATATTTACTATACCTTTTTTATTAGAACAATTTAATACTATTAAATCAGCAGGAAAATATTCATATGAACATATTTTTACTACATCTCCATCTTTAATATCTGCCCATTTTTTTTCTTTAAGTTCTCCATTTTCAAAAACCATAGTTTTTTTACTATTCTCTTCATTATCAGATTTATGTCTTTGCCAATCTTCAAAAAATTCTTTTATCATAGCTACAACGATAATAAATACTAAAGGAATTAAATAAGTTGGCATTCCTTTAGAATCAGTTATTTCTGGTATTAATTGTAACATAGATATAGACAAGAAGTATAAGTTTCCTAATCTTAAAAATTGGAAAAAAACTATTAGAGGTATAAAACTATAAATTTTATATTTTGCTGTTCTTATTTCATTTCTATGTTTCTTCCCGTATATAATATCAATATTTAAATCTTCTTCATCCAATTTTTTTTGGGCATTTTTCACATATAATTCATGATCTTCTTTATTAATTTCAAAGTTTGAAATCAAATAAATTTTATTTTCAATGTTTTTTCCTTTTATTTTACATGCTATCCATTCTAAAAATTTCATTATTTATAAATAGAATATTTATATATATATATATATATAAATATATATATATAAAAAAAAAAAAAAAATAATTTTAATTCTGTTCAATATTATTCTTAATTAAAAGAATATTGTCACCATATATAAAATATGGTTAATAATAGTTTGCTTCATTTAGATGTTCAACTTGTGTATTTTTTTTTTTTTAAATAGTAATGTGTAACCATTATATAAAATATTAATAGTAATTTAAGAATTGCATTTAATTATTAGATTATATGATAAAAATAAATAAATAAATAAAATTGTGATATTTTAGAAAAAATTAAATATTAATGATACAACACAAATAAGAAAATATAACAGAATATGTAATTATTAAAAAAAAGAACAAATGAAAAAAAAAAAAAAAAAAAAAAAAAAAAAA